GGTAGATGTCTCCAGGCACATCTGGTTCACTCGGCAACATCTTGTGCTTCCCTGGGTGCCTGCAGGGCAAAGTCCCATAGGTCCTTCCTGCACTCCAGCACTGCTGGCCAGCCATTTGGGCTCCCCTGCTGTGTCACAGGCAGCACTTGGCTTGCTCTGGTGGATCTTCTGTCTTCACCTCCTTCCCATCCAAACCACTCTATATTTCTATTATAAGTTCTTAATGCCAGTCTCTCAACCTTTAACTGTGATAGGAAAGAAAAATTTCCCACCTCATCTACCTGTAGCCAGTGTTTTAGATCCATGTTTGAGGGTCAGAGTCATAAAAAGGGAATTACATACGTTACCCTTTGAAGTCGTGTTTGTACTTCAGTTAACTATCTTTTTAAGGGTTAATCTAAGGCTAAGACCCTAACAAAAAGGGAAAATGCTTTGCTTTTGGCAACCCAGGTCTCCATCTTTCTCAAGGTTAAAACTTTTAAGCATTCAAGGGACAGGCTTGAAAGCATTACCCTGTTTATATAATTAATTCCTGCAGGAACAGACAGTAATCACAGAAGTTCCATAGTTCAGTATCAGCCTTGATCTTCTGCATAGCATCTCATAAACTACTTGCTTTCTACAAGAAGGAAAATAAAATACATTATTTGGTGGTCCAGCATGGGCAAGGATAACATTTTCTGTATTTCCCATACTATTTCCATCCTAAGGAAATGGAAAACAAAAGAAAAATTTCAAAGTATTTCTTTCATTAGAAACTTTATTACATTAACCTACAGGTATGTGAAGTGAAATAAATGGTAGTGAAGGGCAGAATGATGAACATCAGTCATCTTTGGAAAATAGATATATTTTCACAACAAAACACTTTTTTGTTACAGCTAAGAAAAAAAGCCAAGCATACTTGATAGGTTTTCTTTAAAAATACATTACAGTTCAATCATATCAAAGTGAAGTCTTGTGGGCTAAAAAACTGAACATAGAAGAGTTAGGTTCAGTGCTCTAGCACTAGTATGAATGCACCAAATTACATGATTTTCTGTACATTAATTAATAAGCATGCACCCATTTGTCTTTAGTAATTTTAACTACTATATGTATAGTCTTTAATATAAAGCATTTTTGTCAAAATTAGCTCTGTATTCTTTAGTCTGGACTTTAGACCTTCAGTTTAAGGATTATTATTTGGACACATACCTAATAAAAAATTCAACTGAAGTCACAGTACTTGAAAAATTCAGTATATTTTAAATAACATGTTTCCCGCTTTTATTTTATCCCAACTTCACTTTAGTATAAACTTGACTTTGCAGATTGTCTCAACAGAATGTATGAGTACAACAAAATCTTTCCCCTGTAAGATGCATGTACATCTCCAATTAAAATTAATGGGAGTTTCTGGGTACATCAAGGTAAGGACAAATTTTATGCGTAACAGTGTGTTGTGATTGATTAAAAATCTTTGATATAGTAAAAAGCTTTTACGTTCACAATGCTTCTAAATTACCAGATTAATATGCCTAAATTATTTAAAACCTAAAGTTTATACTCGCTACTTACTTTAAAACCAGCTATTAACTTTGTGCAGCATTGTGCACTTCATTAAACTGATAACAAGTTGTTAAGGGGTAGTTATCTCCATTTTCAATGCTGTTTCTCATTGTAATGTGAATATATAGAGGTGAGGCATCTCTTTCCATTACTGTCTGTGGTGAAGCCAATTCTCGCAGTAGATGGTGTTTGTTAAAATTATTGTATCCACGACAGTATAGTGTGCATGCTCAGAGATATTTAAGGTCTCTGAAGAGCATACTGCAGTACAAAAAGGGCTGTGTGTCAGTCATGAGGATTGAGTTGGGGTTATCTTAAATTGACAGCAGAGTATACACCCTAGCCATACAGGAGACAGCAGGATTGCTAATGCGAGTCCCATGCACTTTTTTTCCTTTGGAATGATACACTGCCACCATTTAACAAGAATACATTACCCCTACAGGCAGTCTGTTTTCTGAGTGTCTACCAACAATCATTCACTGAAGTAAATTCACGAGTCGTTTACTTGACCAGTATGTATTGTAAATCCTGCTCAGATATATACAGGCATTGCTTAATGCTGACTACACAGCAGGAGTTTTTACCCACAAATAGAAAGGCAGACTTTGGTAATGTGTATATTTAGAACATACAAAATAGGCAAAATTATCAGAAACTCATCTGTTTTCACGAATATTTGGCTGAATATATCACTTGAGGATATGTGACATACTGGAAATTTACAAACAATTGTAATTTATTCAGCTTTTCACTTTTTCATATAAAAAAGGAACTGTTTATATTATGAAGATTATCTGTGGTCTCCAAATTTTACACAGAGGAAGAAAATAAGTTTTTTGAGCTCACAATTGCTAAATACAGCATTTGCTATTCATGGTTTCAGAGAAGAAAGGTTTTATTTTAAAGTCCGTTTCATACGGTACAAACACGTGTATATACCAGTAGCTCTTACATGTTATCTATATGCACACAAACCAAATCAATACTTTTGCCTTACATAGGAATTAAATGGTAACTGGCTTTTGAAATATTGTAGTTAATTTCTGTACTTGCAAAATGCAAAGATAATCAAATTATTTATTCCAAAGATACATCAGAAATGCCCAGGGAATTGCAAAACAGCCAGTGCTCGTGGCCAGAAAGAACCAAGAATGTCACGGTGCACTTCATGCAGGCATATACATTCTCAGGCTTGGGCACATCCACAATGATGTCTTCAGTTGCAGATCTCTCATTTGTCACCACTTCAGTGACAACAACTAAAAGCAAACTGTATTTCCATTTCAGCTCTGGGGTTCCTTTTAAAAAAAACAAAAATAATAATCCGATTTTTTTTCCCAATTTTTCTTCCAGTTGATCCTCTGTTGCATTTAGTATTCCAAAGGCAACTGGTTGTGATTTTTTTAGGAATATATCAATGCTGTCACAATAGTGATAATTCTTTGTCTCAGACTGTATTACAGTCCAGATGTAACAGTAAAAATTGTTGTGGCACTCCCTGTACTAAGCTGGGCAGCACAAACACCAGACTCTTAACCTATTGACCGCCTTTCTTGTCGTTATTATCACAGGTCTCATGTGCCAACATGCGACCCCAACGCAGAAAGAGGACTAGTGCTTCCCATTATATGCCATATGATACAACCACTTGTGTCCTTTCCTCATCAGCTAGAAATATGCCAACCCCCAGGACAAGCTATTCACAAGAAGCTAGAGAGTTACCACCAGGGCAGAGTGGAAAAGCTTGCTGGGGTAATGTTACAACCATGTTTAGCAGGTAGCATCATTGATAACAGCAGCAGCTGAAAGTAATATTGCGACATCATTTTTAGGTTTCTAAAGATAACTTTCCACTGAAAGAGAAAGTCCAGCCTATATCAACCACTATTTTTTTTAGGATGATGTGTCTGGGCAACAGTTTTCTCTCAATAGATGAACACCTTGGCAAATTTAATTTCCACTGAATTGTGCACTTAAAAAAACAGACTCTTTTGAAGGGAGAGAAAGGAGCCTTTTGGAAAGATTGTCTCCATCCATATAGTCAACAGAATATACTAAACTTCACAGAGGGACTGTTTTTCACTTTTCTTCTGCATTCTTGTTATTATCCTCAATAAAAACACCTTGTTGGTTTGGGTTTTCCCCCAATTAATTCATTAAGTTAAACTACTATGCTAGCTACCTCTGTCAGAGATCAGTATGACATGAATTCTTACTCTAATCCTTTCCTCCTGCCCAGAGGTGTCTATAACCAGATAAAATAAAGGCCAGCTGGCAAAAATGCAAAAGAAATGGACACACGGTAGAATATTTTTACAATCTAGATCACTAAAAACAGACACGCAGCGTAAAAATGGAGACACAAGTTAATGAAGAATGGGAAGTACGTTATTAGCAATGCAAAAGACCAGCTTAAGCATGTGTTTCCCTACATCAACTATAAAAAAGAAAAGGTGCCTTTTGAGCAAATATGCACAGAGATTGCTTAGTTATTTCTAAGAAAAAAAATCAGAACACTTTACTATTTTTATTCTATATTACAGTCATTATTACTACCTGTTTATAAAATGTAAACCTTTCCTTGCAGTTAAGATTTACAGCAGTCATCACCTTTGTCCACTCCTTACATAATCAGTCCATGGTGACAAAAATAAACTGATTTAAGTTACATATTTATGAAGTAATAACTGATATGTTATAGATTATTTGTTGTGTATGGTAGAAACAGTGGTCAGGACTGCAATATACGAACAGTAGCAAAAGATTCGTTGAAGACTGGTGCTGCAGTACCAAGAGATCTTGAAGCATGTAATATTGGTGTATGCAATGATTTTATCTGCAAAACTATTCAAGCATGGTATGCCCGCCACCAGTAATGGACAAAAAAGTGTAATGGTGGATTTCCCAAACAACTGCAGAATTGTGGTTACTTATCCCCATCAGATCTTGTCTCTTAATATGTCTTGACTAACGATCAGAATGGAAGGCAAAATTTGGCAAGGCAGTTTTTTCTTCTACATAACTAGTGAATCAGATCACCTAAATGAAGTGGTATTTGGTAAATTGCAGTGTCCTGGGAGTATTTCTACTCTGAAATGTGACAAACATGAAGTCTATATAAAGTTGTTGAAAGAGGTTGTTATCAAAACTGATCTGCAAACTAATATTTTTAAGCCAGTATATTTCAGTATAAATGTGTTGCATTCCTGTTTCTATAAAATTTACTGCCATGAAAAAAAGAATGATCAGGATCCCCAGTGTGTGGCTTTTGTCCATCTGTCACTTTTATACACAATACAAACCTCATGTTGAGATTCTGCTTAATGTACAGCAGTTGTCTGCTGGACAGATTAGGAGGCAAATATGATGGTAAACTAGAGGAAGGAGCACAACCATGCCACTTTGCCCCTTCAGAGTCCCACTGTGCTACACATCAGCTTTTGGGGTCATTCACTGCTGACCCCTTTCGTAGAGGATTTGGGGCTATCTCGAACTGGTAGCAAGTCATAATGACATGGAATATGGCTGTTTTTTGGAAGATCATAAGGATCCTGGTTGAAACGTCCACTGCTGCTGAATGCTCCCTGGACAACACTCACCGTAGGTTCTGTGATAAAAGAGAGCACATACTTTTAATACCAGAAGTGGCAAAGAGAAGGCAAACACTGTATTTCATTTCAGTTCACATTAAAAAATATCCTCTCCTTTCTGCAACAATATAGAGATTCCTTGTCATGCTTAATCCTGAAATACAGGTGTAAAAACAAAGGTTGATGTTCAGGGGTTTGGGCTTTAAAGTAAGATACACCTTTGGGCTTGCAACAGGGCCCTGCCATGAGTATATTTACTGACAGAAGCAAGTGGACCAGCATCTGTCCTTTGTGTGTGGACAAACTAAAAAAACAAACAAACAAACAAACAAATCAAAAAACCAAGAAAACCAAACAAAACCCTCCCAAAAAAACCCACTAACTTTTATTCAAGATTTTATAAAAATCCTTAGAAACACCGTTAGGATTACTACTGTTCCACGCGACCCCAAAGTTTTCTGTAACTATACTAAAACAATAGCTAGATCGGGCCCATATCAGTGAAATACTACGCCTGTGGGTGAAGATGCTGTTTTTATTGTCCAAGGGGAGGACACACATCTTTGCTATTCCTCCCATAAACTTAACCCGGCTGTATTCAGTACTTGACAGCCTAATCTAGAGTTGAATTATACTGCAATCAAATGCTAAGCTTATTTTATGCTTTTGTTTAAAGAAAGGCTTTCAAACCAGGGAAATTCAGAGCTACTTCTAGAACAGAGCTGAAGGTATTTCAAACCCTGTTCTTGTGAATCATACTGCTTATCTCAAAAGAATGAGACTGTTGTTACAGCTTTTGAGCAGAAAACAGAATCTGAATGCATCATCTTTTTTCTTTTTTTTTTTTCAATGATTTTTCATGTGTTCTGTTTAAACTCATTCACAGAATAAAAATCCTGTGTTCTTTGTTCTTAACCTTCCAACATCTAGAAGTAGATTTTGTACTTACCAACTTCATAAACATTCTTGTTGGCTGAAGCAGCGCCAGCGATCTCAGCATATGGGGAGTCCCTGCGTGCTGGTGACTTCATTTCAACATATCCACATTCTGAACTTTTTGGTACAAGAGCTGGTGGGTCTTTTATAGTAGCATACGGGTTCTCAGAACTACTTAATGAGCAATTACTTAAATTGTATTCTGAGTTCTTCACTAGATCTGCAAAAAGAAAAACATACTGTTCTCTCAAGTATGCTGCATACTATGGACATTGCTGCTAACCAGGGCATTCTTTAATTCTGAGTTCAAAAAAGTCACTCAGAAAAGACTATTTAAGTGGAAACCAGTCATAACACTTCAAAATTGTTATACAGCAAAGTACCTCTACTGCTGTGCTCTTTTATGGGCTTGCTCTTGCCAGCAGGAAATTTCTTTTACAAGGTCTGAGAACCTTCAGTTCTCGTTAAAATAGTAGCCAGAATTAACTACACGAAATGTGTAGAATCAGTTTTTAATAGGAACTTCAGACTACTTTTTGCCTTTCTAATTGCTAAACTCAGGACACTATTAAATTAAGTGATCTAAGACTGTTCCCAATAGCAATGTCTGGGTAAATGATAAGGTGAAGTTAAGGATGGCCAGTTTGATCTTAGGAACCTGAACGTGCACAAGCCCATGGGACTTGATGAAATCCATCCGTGGATCCTGAGGGAGCTGGACGATGAAGTTGCTCAGCCACTGTTCATCACATGTGAAAAATCATGGCAGTCAAGGTGAAGTTCCCGACAACTGGACAAATGGAAATGTAACCCCCATTTTCAAGAAGGGCAAAATGGAAGACGCAGGGAACTACAGACCAGTCATTCTCACCTCTATGCCTGGCAGGATCATAAAGCAGATTCTCCTGGAAACCATTTTAGGGCACATGAAAGACAATAAGGTGGTTGGTGACAGGCAAATCCTGCCTGACCAATTTGATGGCCTTCTATGATGAGGCTATGAAACTGATGGATAGGGGCAAAGCAGTTACATTGTCTACCTGGACTTGTGCAAAGCATTCCAAACTGTCGTGCACAACATCCTTGTCTCTAAATTGGAGAGACATCAATTTGATGGATGGACCACTCAGTGGATAAAGAACAGGCTGGATGGCCACACGCAGAGAGTTATGGTAAATGGCTCAATGTCCAGTTGGAAAACAGTAACAAGTGGTGTCCCTCAGGGATTGGTGTTGAGACCTGTCTTGTTCAACATCTTTGTCAGTGACATGGACAATGGAATTGAGTGCGCCCTCAGCAAGTTTGCCGACGACACCAAGCTGTGTGGCTCGGTTGATACCCTGGAGGGAAGGGATGCCATCCAGAGGGACCTAGACATGCTTGTGAAGTGGCCAATGCCAATCTCATGAAGTTTAACCAAGACAAGTGCAAGCTCCTACACCTGGGTCGGGGCAATCCCGGGCACAGCCACCCGTTGGGTGGAGAAGAGATTCAGAGCAGCCCTGTGGAGAAGGACTTGGGGGTGTTGATTGATGAGAAACTGAACATGAGCCGGCTTCAGCATGTGCTCACAGCCCAGAAAGCTGTGTCCTGAGCTGCATCAAAAGAAGTATGACCAGCAGGTCAAAGGAGGTGATCCTGCCCCTCTACTCCGCTCTCATGAGACCTCACTTGGAGTATTGTGTGCAAGTCTGGTGTGCTCAGCATAAGAAGGACAAGGAGCTGTTGGAGCAAGTCCAGAGGAGGGCCACGAGGATGATCAGGGGGCTGGAGCACCTCCCATATGAAGACAAGCTGAGAAAGTTGGGGCTGTTCAGCCTGGAGAAGAGAAGACTGAGTGGGGACCTCACAGCAGCCTTCCAATATCTGAAGGGGGTCTACTAGGATGCTGGGGAGGGGCTTTTCATTATGAACTGTAGGGATAGGACAAGGGGTAATGGGTTTAAACTTAAACAGGAGAAGTTTAGGTTAGATATAAGGAAGAAGTTCTTTTCTGTGAGGGTGGTAAGGCACTTGAGCAGGTTGTCTAAATAAATGCTTCATCCCTGGCAGTGTTCAAGGCCGGGCTGGACAGAGCCTTGGGCGACATGGTTTAGTGTGGGGTATCCCTGCCTATGGCAGGGGGGTTGGAACTCCATGATTCTATGATTTCATGAGAATTTAAGTATGAGGCCACACTGAAAGAGTAACCAGCTTCTTAAAAGTGTCTGTAAGGTACACACAGGGGAAGTGAAAAGAAAACAATAGGTGGCTTGTTATTTCAGGATTCAACTGAAGAACAGATAACTGTAGTTTAAGAGAACATGTGTTTTCTTATGCTGGGAAGAGATTTTGTGGTGTCTGTGTTCCTTTGTTTTCTGTGTTGTTCTGTGATACGCTGTGTTATTTAAGCTTTAGAGCTGAGGCTTTCTCAGCTTGTCCCTGACTCTGAATATGCAGCATGAAGCCAACTCTGGTGAACCTGTCAGTGGGTAGGTGCTTAACTTTTTGACTGCTTTAATATATTTTTAATTGGGCTTCTCTTAATCATAAAATCATAGAATTGTTTAGGTTGGAAAAGACCTTTAAGTTCATCGAGTGTTAACTCAGCACTGCCAAGTCCATCACTAAACAGTATCTTTAAGCATCGCATCTACACATCTTTTAAGTACCTCCAGGGATGGTGATCCCACCACTTCCCTGGGCAGCCTGTTCCAATGCCTGATCACCCTCCCTGAGAAGAAATTTTACCCAACATCCAATCTAAACCTCCCCTGGTGCAGCTTGGGGGTGTTTCCTCTTGTCCTATTGCTTGTTACTTGAGAGAAGAGACCTACCCCACCTCACTACATCCTCTTTTCAGGTAGTCGTAGCGTCAAGGTTCCCCCTGAGTCTTCTCTTCTCCACACTAAACACCCCCAGGTCCCTCAGCCGCTCCTCATCAGACTTGTTCTCCAGGCCCTTCACCAGCTTTGTTGCCCTTTTCTGGGCCCACTCCAGCACCTCAATGTCTCTTTCGTAGTGAGGAGCTGAGAACTCAGAACTGAGCACAGGATTTGAGGTGCAGCCTCACCAGTGCCCAGTACAGGGGGATGATCACTGCCCTGGCCCTGCTGGACACACTATTGCTGATACAGGCCAGGATGCCGTTGGCCGCCTTGGCTGCCTGGGCACAAGCTGCTCATGTTCAGCTCCGTCAATCAGCACCCCCAGGGCTTTTTTTGCCGGGCACCTTTACAGCCACTCTTCCCCAAGCCTGTAGCATTGTATGGGGTTGTTGTGACCCAAATCCAGGAAATGTCGGTTATAATAAGCCATTCCTTCAGCTCAGGTGTCCAGTATTATACACAAGGTGACAAACCAGCTGCTCTTTGTCTACATATTTTGTCTCACTATTCATATTAACACTTAGCTACACTTTTTTCATTTTCTGGATATCCACGCAATTCTAGTCACCCTTGGCATACCTTAATCATGTAACAAAAATAGTGAAACACACCAGTATGGTTCATTATGAAGTCTTACAAGAAAACCAGGTAATTTAAAAGATAAAAATACCATCATTACCCTGAATTTCTGAAGCTTTTAATTCCTCTCTATTCATTTTTTCATACCCTTTCCAAAGGCCTGCAGTGAATGTGATGAAGCCCTGCAGGCTTGCAGTCATGCAGTCCTACCATACCAGTTGCAAGAGGAATTGTATCTCCTTTAAAGCTCTTTATCAGAGGTAGCATGCATCCTTACCCGGCTCACTAGGCTGAATTCAAGGACCATCCGTGTTCTGCTGTCTATTTAAAATAGAGCCATTTTTGACTCAGCCATTAGAGAAACATTTGGTGTATGTGACACATAGGGGACTTTAAAAGGCTTGGCTTGTTGTTTTGTTTTTTGATTGTTTTTTGGGGGGGCGGGATTTTATTTTACTTTATTCAAACCTTCCCATCAAAAGAAAAAAAAAAAATTAAAAAAATAATGCATTGATTAAGTGTCTAGGAATAATTTAGTCCAAAATTATTTTATATTCTCTTCACACAGAAACCAAAGATAACTTAGAAAAGTAAACTGAATGTCTACATCATTCACGAAAATGTATCAGAAAAATCACCTCACCTTTCAGGGACTTTCCCAAATATCCCCTATCAAGTCCAAAAGCACCTAAGAAAAACAACACAAACAGAGTAGTTTTAAAATCAGAGAAAAGTGATTAGGTAACAACTTCTAAAGCTTTTTAAATTGCCTTGGGACTGATTTCTGCCTCAGCAGAATAATTCTTTTATGAGCCCTGTGAAACTGCCCTCTATAGGGGTACAGAAGCATTGTTACTACTTGCTTGCACGCTTTCAAACAGTAGTTTTCTGAACAGGGAAAGTGGTTAAGGCCATAAGGCACCATTGAATAAACTAGTTCAACCTCATGTATGCCACAGGCCATTAGGTTTCCCCAGTTACTCTTGTATGAACCTAATTTTTTAGCTAGGTTGTATTGTGGTACTATGCTAGAAGCCTTACAAAAGCCTAAAATAATTTTATCTATACAATAGCTCTATAGAAAAATTTATAGATTCCAAGAATGAAATCATATTACTTGAGGAGACCTAAACCAATTAATTTTATTCCTGCCCCATCTTTATTTACTAGATTTCATGTCAGCTATTCTGTTGTTTTTACTGAGACTAATGCCCAAGTCACTGGCCTAGAGTTACCCAAGTAATCCCATTTTACCTTCTAGAAAACAAACATAGTATCACCATTCATCCAGTACTCTAGAATCTCTGTGTTACTCAAGTTCTACTGCAGTGGGTTAGCCACAGCCACTATAGGAGTCTTAAGTGCTAGTACAAATGCTGCAAGAAAGTGTAAAGTTCACACTGAGCATTGTAACTGAAAACCTTTTCTAAAAGATCCCTGACTTGAGGTTAGACCAAGACTGGCAAAGAGCGGAGAAAAAAATAATGTTGCATACTGTTTTTCTGATTCCTAGACTCTGATACTGACAACGACCAGTAGTAAAGGTAAATTAAATGAGCTACATTGTATGGGCACTGAAAGTTCCTTTGAAGATTTCACTGGTCAGAGATACAGTCAGAGCAATCCAGCCTTTTTGGAATGCATGAAATTGGGAGAGGAGGAAAAGACAGCAAAAGATAGCATAAGGCAGAATACTGCAACTGTCATTTCTTGGGAACTGTTCTTCCTAAGGACAGTGCTCTGTCCTTAGCAAACAGGCTTAGCTGGGAAGATGCTCCTAGAATTTACATCTGAAGCAGCTCAGATGATGAGAAACTACTTTAAAAAAAGCACTGATTCCATTTGGTGAGGATTAAAAAAAAAAGGATATATGCAACCACTAATTTATTTAATAATATGTAATTTTTGTACAATGTAAAAGTTGTACAAAAAGCAGATCCTTATTGTGCAATACCCATTATTTTATGGAAATAATTAATAAGCAAATCTTTTTATTTTGCACATCTTGTCTCCACTGGGTGTCAGACTGATTTGCTGTGCCTGATTCACTGTTCCTCAAAAGGAGTTACTTTTTGTATCTAAGGATGCTGCCTTAACGGAAAGTCAAATCCATGACCCTGAACCTCACACACAGTCTTACAAGCCTAGTATTACACTAAGTGGAGAACCAGGAAAACATCACTGTTTTTCAATCCATCCCAAACACAGTAAGTAACATTCATATTCTCCTTACTGGTTTTTTTTGTTCTTACCAAGCTCATTGAGGTAGCCACCATGTTTCCAGTCTGCTGGCAGTGTCCCTGTGTAGTCCATGATGTTGCCTCGTTTTCCAGGTTCCACATTTTTAAGGTTCACAAACAGCTGGCTGTTTTTTGCCTGTATCAAAGACAGACATGTAATAGAAACTAAAGTTGCTTAATTTCCAGGTGATAATCAGGGAAAGTAAAACTAAACAGGAAACATTAGGGAAGCAAACCAAAGGTTCATTTACACAGAAAGATCCAGATTTTTATGCTTTACCTTTGCCAGGGTCAGCCTGTCCATGTTGTTGACATGAGGTGGGGTGGTGCATTGAGTTAGAGTATGATAACTAGGGTTAGAGAAATAGTGACTGTTTGCATTTCCACCACTACCATGAGGAATGGTTTCTGAAACAGAAAAGAAAGAAAAATTAACAAGTAAAAATAACATGCCATTTCTTTCTCAGAGTATGTTTTTGACAGTACTGTACTGATTTCAGAATCTGATTTAGTTTCTTGTAAAAAAAAAAGTTTAAAAATCTTGCATCCATTTGAAGAAATTAGAGATAGTAACTGACTAGTCATTGCCTGAAGTTTCATGTACCATCCCAACTCACATGCACTTTCATACGTTGAAAACTCCTGTTTCAGGAGCATTGCTCGTTCTTTTAATTCGTTTTAAACTTGAGCTACTCTGCTATCTGCCTCTCTGCAGAATCTTGCCACAGCTAATGTAAAATCCTGATTTTCTACAGCTGTAACGGTCTTTCTGTATTCAAGCTGTTGGGAGTAGAAAATATTTTTTGCCATACTTCTCAATGCTGTTTAAAAATAGTCAAAGAGGAATAGAAATGTCCATACTTCCACTTTTTAATGCAGAAAAAACAGTTGAGGGTTCAAAATATTACACAATACAGCAAGGTGTATGGTCACTTGTTCCTTACAGTTAACGTATATTACCAGGTTAAGCCACGTTCATAGTTTCAAAAGCAGAGATACAAGACTATGATGCAGAACAAAATAAGCAGCTACAGATGCTGGCACAGACTCATTCTGACCTCAAGTGAACTGTCTGTGATAGCTGAAAGGTAAGCACACAAGTCTACCATTGCATTCCACTGGTCCCGTGTGCCAGTTCGCCTGCACTGCTGTCAGTGTGGTCTGAGGGGCTTCTCTCCTGTGAAAGGCAGTTGAGAGCAGTGTCTCAGTCTTCCTCTTCCTAAAGAGGGAAACTCCCCCCTGCCTCTGTTTCCAGGAAAGCTTCCGAGGCAGAACTGTAGACATCCTTTTTGAAATCAAGTATATTCCTGCTCACAGCAGCCCTTGCTAATGCAAAATGTGAAACATGCACAATTAAGCCCCATTAGGGGCACACAGATGGACCATTTCAGAGCTCAGCTAAAAAAGCACAAGATCAAGAGACAGAGAGAAAACCCTGCTCTAAATATCACTTACCTGAAATGGTATAATCTGCATTGATGACCCGCATAGCAGGGGTATAGGTCACTGCAGGCATATTTGTTTCTTTTCCTTTCTGCTTTTGTCTGTAAATTATGAACAGCACTAGCAGGAAAAGCACAACCAGGACAAGAATAATGATGCCTGCTATAGCCCCTATCTGGTAAGAATCAGCAGGGATGGCAGTACTGGTACGGCTTAAACTGTTCAAGTTTCCCACTATAATTACACCAGCTGAAATACAAGAAGAAATGAAAATATGTGGCATAAATTCAGAGGCTTATGTGTCAGAAGCAGAAGACAGTATTTCACTTCTAAACCCTTTTGCTAATTTAACTGCATTTAATAATGCCAAAATAGAACTATGTCAGAAACCAATACGAAGACAATCCTAGCCTTAAGGAAAAGCATTCATTTTCTTCATTGAAACAGATGTTTTCATGGAGTTGAAAAAGTAAGAACACTTGCTAGGCAAAAGCAGAGAGCAGGTAAAGCACATGCTCTATCAGCAGCTTTGTACAGCACAGCACTGTAATACATTTTATGAAATCTACGCTTGAATGCTTTGCTCCAACAAACTATCACTGAGGCATCTAATACTTAAAAAAATCTACAGAACATGTATAATTTAATAGAATGGACTATTTAAACACACAAGCCTTATCAGGTTAATTTAATGAATGATACGGATATGGCATTTAATGTGTTAATCCAAGTTTTATATAAAACAATTACAATAATTTTATTCCATCAAGGTTTTACCTTGATCACACCTGGCCCCTTTCCAGCCTGGGCTGCAGTAACACGTTCCTGTGATGTGGTCACAAGTTGAGTTGTTCAGACAGTCACATATCTGCCGGCATCCATACCCATACGTGCCTTGAGGGCATTCTGCACAAAATTGTGCAAATAAACATCAGACATAGTACTTCTTAAATATTTTGGTATTACAGATCTACAGCACCTTACACGCTGTCATTTATTTCTAACCTCATACGGTTTTGTACATGGCCAGCAGATGGCAATGTGTTATTAGTAGTACACCTAAAAAGATGTTCTTAAGAGGTCCTCTCTGTATAGGTGTGCATGCATGGGAAAATAGATTGTATTCAGAAATGATTTTCTTTTACATGTAATGTTGCTGTCGCAGAAACAATGCAATTAAGAAAGAAAACAAAATAAAATAAAATAAAATAAAACAAAACAACAACAAAATTTTACCCCTGCCCCAAACAAACAAATGTAAACCGCAAGATTTAAAAGGTTGAAGACTCTTTAAGCTGACAACAAAGTGCCAGTTTTACACCAGAACGTCAAGTCTAACAAGTTACTCAGATCCCTTTTTGAAATATCACATAATCATATGAGTGGAGCCAGATATCTGGCTGGTGTTATGTCATATGACAGATGTGCTGATGTGGTGAAAGAGCAACATACTTTGGTACTACAATGTATACACTGAGAAACAACCTACAGGAGAAAAACGGCAAATTATGAAAAATAAGCTCATTGGAAGAGTTTTACATTATTTTTTTCTCGTGCAGAATGACTTCAATATAATACTTAGTTACTGATCAAAGTGTCTTCTACATCATGTAATCAGCATGATAGAGAATTATCCTACACTGATAAAAATTATTTCTTCTATACTACTACCTCTGTTAGTGTGTGGCTTGTTGCATTACTGTAGTGCTGATGGTTTGAGGAATTTGTGGTATTTCTTCACCTTCTGAGGTTCAATTTTCTGAAATCTCTCAGGAGTTTGTAACTATATTAATTTGGTTTTTATCTTTAAAAGAATCTAACTAATCTTTTATGTATTTCTAATTTAGAATAATTTACAAGACAATGTAACACAGTGGGTGCCAGATAAATATTCTTACTGTCTTGGTAAATCTAGACTCAATTGAAATTTCATGCCTATATACCTTCTCCTTCTCTTGGGTATACTCGTATATATAACATATATAATATATAAATTACATATTTATATATAATACAAAACAATGTTATAAGTACTGAGGACAATGGCTAGGCAAAACCCATCACACTATAATGTATTTTGGCATTTTGAAATCTGAATTGGAATGAAAAGTCCGTTTTTAAAACTTTAATGCAAATTCAGAAATTCAGAAATGTTTAGTTTAATAGCATTAAGTCATTATCAAATTATATTATAAGGTATAAAATCTATAAAACTTAATTATAAAGCTAGATTTGCTGAAGTATTCAAAATTACTTTTTATAACATAGCAGGTTGAATGGACTGCTTTGAACTGCAGTATAATGCATGAAGTGTGGGAGCACCACTCTGTAGCATTAGCAAAAGTAGGGCCAACAGCCTGATTATTCTTCTAATATTGTACCACGCTGTAACACCATTGATGTCAGTGGCGTTATTCATGTTTTTCCTGGGTAAAGAATCACACACATATGAAAACAAAATGCCATCTATTATGCTTTTATCATCAAATTGTTCTATAAAACAACATTGTAAAGATTAATTTTATCCTCTAGGATTGATGTACTTCTTTACTTCTCTACTAGTTTTCATTGTGGTTTATGCTAATGACAATTACTTGGATTCATTTGTTACATGACAGAGTTGTTGGGGGTTTTTTAGCATTATGTCCAAAGCAACTACGCTGCAGTACAAATGCCTCTTACACGTAGCTATAAATTGAAAGAAACAGCCATTCCAATCATAATCAGTCTTAATAACTAATTCTGCAGGCTTTTATCTGTTTGGCAAAAGCTTAGGCTCAACTCCTGAGGCTCTTTCCCCATGAAAATTCCCACTGAACTGAAGAGGTTGTATCACAACACCTGCCAAAACAACACAGGGTCAGCTCAGGGTTTAATATTTGCTATCATGCCTGGACAATTCCCATCCCTACTCACTCTGCTCACAATGCTTCCCCATGAACCCTGTGCGGCAGGTGCACTGCCCACTGATGTGGTCACAGTCAGCTCCGTTCTGACACTGGCATATCAGTGCACAGTCCTTCCCATAAAACCCTAGAGGACATCCTGCAATACAAGAAGGGGTAGGGGAAAAGGAGTGAAACAACTGCTCTGGAAATAAAATGCAAATATCCTGGTTAAGTATGTTACTGAGAAGTCATACCTACAGCCCCGCTATTCAGCATGGCATTCTATAAACATAATAGGTCAAGACCTACCCTATTTTAAGTGGTTTAAAATACATATTAGGCAAAAACTACATAAACATGAGGTTGGGAGATTGCACAGACAGCAGATGTTCAGAAGAAGGCAGCAAGAAGGTCTCTTCAAAGAAATGGTTTTAAGAAGATATTTGAAGAAGGAGAAAGAGGGCAGTTTGTGAACCAGAGCAGGGAATCTATTCAGTGATAAATGAACCCTTGGACATATTTTTGCACAGTTGACATTGAAACATAAAAAAATAAAAATAATAACATATTGTATCTCAGCTCCTTGCCAAGATACTGTTTCAGCATGAAGAAGACATATTGCCACAGAGAGATCATTATTCACCAGCAGGAAGCAAAATAACCATGATAGCTGACATCTGAACCAGTATAGTGAATGTCTTCCTGAACTGCATCCATATGGCCATATAATATATCTGTTATTTCCTGCCATTATGACATTATTCACTGGAAAAAGAAGAGTTCTGATTATATGAAAAAGTGTACTTAAGAAATGAATGCAAAACACAGCAGTCTTACTTTTCTTGAGTTCAAAGGTAACAGTTGTGTACAGATTACAGACATTAGGGGTGCCTGGATTGAAGGTAAACCAAACTGAAGCTGTAATGTGATAAAGAAGCCAACTTTATCAATATCTATCTCTAATAAATGATTACTTCCCAAACGTCATATGAACTCTTACCCAACATACAATGAGTGCCATACACCTACAGCCATTTTAATTTTAATGAAAAGTTCTTGGTGGGGGGGGAGAAATCAGATTAGTGTATTAATTACATGAAGAAAATTTAAAAATTATAACATTAGAGTCTAGTGAAGTTAAGTTTCTAAATTCCAAATAAAATAGCTTTATCAGTGTCTGAATTACAGGTGCTGAGCTAGAGCTGTTGTTGCAACTGCTCCTGGAGATAGCAGTTAGAGATACAACATGTACTGCGTGATCACTTTGCAGTGACAACAGGGACTGTACCCCAGCAGGCCACAGCCACAGCCAGGCTAGAAGCTATTCTTACGGCTTCAGTCAGCAATGTGTTATCTTACAGTCTTGGTCATCAGGTCCCTGCTACTAGAGCACTTCCCGGGGAGGTTTCAGAGAGGGAAGAAATCAAATGGTACCATCATCCCACCCTGTGGGGAATGCTTGAAGAACTGACACCATCAGTGCTATGGACTGCAGCCAAACCACACATACACAGTGGCAGCCTCTGAATGTCAAAGTCATTCTGTGTGTGCACATGACAGACTCTTCCCCAGGGATGCCTAGCTGCAGCCAAAAGTTGTCTTCTTCTGAAGGATCGCTAAAAAGGAGCCCAAATGTAGTGATCAATGCTCTGACAGTGCTTATATAGGGGCCTTCCCTGCAACCATGGAGGCAATGTGTTGCATCTTCTGTATCAAAAAAGTTCAGCAGCATGGGAAGAAATCAATGGTTAAAATGTGAAAATACTGAAGAAAAACTCTGTCACTGACTTTAGACTAAGGATGGATAACGAAAGTCACTTACTTTGTGTACAGTAAAGGCCCGTCCATCCTGGGGTACATTTGCACTCCCCATCATAGGCACTGCAATAAGCTCCATTATGGCAGTTGCAGGTGTGAATGCAGTTTGGTCCCCAGTGGGAAGGTGGGCAAGCTAAAAAACAATTAATCAATTAATCTCAAATGACAAAGATCCTTGATACCCATGAACAGAGCTGCTTACATTCATATATGAGCACTGCTTCATTTAGGGTTTGCTTTTCTTTCAAACACATTTTTTGGGCTGCTCTATTCTGAGAAAAAAACAGTCACAGGGGGTTTTTTTTAACTGAAGAATCATTTTAGTCTAGATAGAAAGTACTGAAAAATAGATAAAAGATTAGATGTGTGAAAGAAACCAGTGATACATACTTGATTCTGAGCAACTAGGACACTCATACTAGCTTTTGCATAGAGAAAGCCATGTAAGTTTCCTTTCTCAACTTACTTTTTAATCTGCAAACAGTTCAATAAGCACAATTAAGGGAATAAGCCTTTTAAGCCTCAAAAGTGAAGAAGAAAGAACAGAGATGACTGAAACATGTCTTACAGCCTTAGACACACCTATTGCTTTAGACCCAATACTAAGCTTACTTCTTGTATTTCCACTGTTAGATTCTACACAGATGCCTAAATGTGGTGCATATAATCAGAACCATACATTAATAACGTTAAGTCAGTTGCTTCTGTGGGTCCATCGATCAATATAATACTTCTAAAACCCAAGTAATTATCTATAAAATGGAGATTTTTCTTTTCATTCACAATCATGTGGACATGTTATGAAATAGAATTCTACTGTAGATTTTTGACTGCTTTGAAAATGTCATGGTGAATGAATTTGATCCTATGTGTTGCCATTAGAATAGTGAAGTGGTTCCAAAATGCTAGTTACTATTCATACACAGCAAAAGATAATTTTCTTCATGTCAGAATATATCTAAGTGTGAAGGTTACTCTAAGAATAGCCCCTTTCTGCTGATCAGGATTCACATCCTGAGGTTTTCATTTGTTTCTTTAGTTAAAGCTAAGAATAGTTTCATGGAAGTAAAACACGAGTATTTCACAGGGGAGAAGAAAGAGCTCTGACACCAAAGCCTTAGCTTTATACCTAAGTTTAAAAAGGCTAACTCCTTATTGTTGTGTACCGATTTGGTTGTCCAGAGACTGTCTGACAGCAACAAAACTTCCTGGATCTTTTAAATGTTTGCATAATGATTCATCTATGTGTAGGCTGTATTTTTGCAAAGTGTTCTCTTTGCCCAAATTTCTCTTCATTAAGAAATACCTTATGTTGTATTTGAAAAAAAATACTAAGTTTGGTTTTTGTTCTTTCCATTTCAATTGTGCCACATAATGATTTTTATTATTGTTTTGTGTTCGAAATTAGTGGTCAACTAAGAAGGAATGTAAATCACATACAGACAAAAGGTTAGAAGTTTCAAAAAGGTTGCTGGTTCCAAAAGAAATTAATGGAATCATTATTTTCCATGTGAACGAAAGGCCTTTATACAAAGCAAATAAACTTCCTCTGTTACGGTCCATGAGCACAGCCTCAATGGACACTTCCATTCATATTGCTGGCACCATTTTCTTGTTATTGATTCAGTAAGTCCCTCCTCCTCCTAAATACCCCTATTCTGCTACTCTCCCAAATACCTACTTATTTTACCATAAAAACAGGGACCTTTGTTGCTACTGGCTTCCACAGAAACAGGCCCAAGATTTATTTTGGTATCATATTGACTTGTGCATGCTAATCACTCCACAGAATGTAGCCAGCAAAGCTTTTTTTCCAAATTGACCAGATGTTACATTGCACTGGTACAGAGCCAGTTAACCTGGACCAGTCAAACCGTAAATGATATAAAACACGTTATTAGGAAACGCAGCTTCCTGGAAACCCCACCAAAATGTCTTTTGAATTTTGACGTATCAGGGTCTTGTACAGCTTCTTTTATTCATAAAAATGGCTTGGCTGAAATTTTGGCATGCAATGTGTGCCAGACTGTATGGATTTTGGTACCTTATGGAGTTGGATATGCTTCTTGTGAGAATTTTGCTTCAGATATTTATTTCCTGTCATTATTAATTTGCATAGACCAAGCAAGGCATCTGGAAGTGCCTAATTATTTAATAAAACATGAACCAATAAAGTTACCCTTCTCCTTTTTAAATCAGTAACAAAGTAGTCCCTGAGTTTAGCATGCCGAGACAATAGTTGAGTGAGGCAGAAACGACACTAAAAATGTGTATCTGTGAAACATCTATAAAAAGAAGAAAGAAAAATATCCATGAAAAAGTTATAAGCACTTTAAAAAGTCATGGGGAAAAAATTCTTAACAAGATGTTCAAATGTTTAACAAGAATAAGGATGATCTTGCAGCCAGAGCAGTAAATTGTATCTGAAAAATCTTGGCTTTGTTCTGAGCCTTGTCAGTGGCTCTATATGCAACTGTGTTAAGAAAAAAAATCTGTATTTAAGTGCCTCAGCTCCTAATTTGTAAAATAATACTTCCGTTATATGTAAGATTGTCCTGAGAATACAAGCCCTGGTATCTTCACTTTACCGTGGTAAGACTGAATAATTACAGACGAGCAAACTACAAGTGAAGAACCCTCTCTTCAATTTAAGATTCATCAAGTCAGACTTTTTCATGTTGGAAGAGACCTCTAGCATCACCTAGTCCAACATCAAAGGATCTTCAACAGTGGTAACTTCACAACGCCTTTCAGGCCCCTCTCAGAGACTTCAGAGCCTCTGTGGACAATCGCTGTGCTTGACCACTCACACAGTGGGGATTTTTTTTTTTTCCTTTTACCTAGCAAAAGTAACCCTTGCTGCAACTTCTGAAACAAATCTCATCCAGCTTCCCTACAACTCTTCTTTGGACAGTGGAAGACTGAAAATTGATCCCTTCCTGTCATATGCTCCAGCCCACTTAGGAAAATCACAGTGCAGATGTGTTTCTAATAGTGCTGATGAAATGCAGAAAAGTTTAGATCTCTTCATTATATACTGTGAAGTCCTCCTTTCTGACTTAGACAGTGTTTCTTTACCAAAAACTAGAGAATTTAAATAGCCAAACCTTGAATAATTGTTTCAAAAATAAAGGAAAAAAAGATGATACTTACGCTGAGAGCAGTCACTACCAATCCAGCCAGGGTAACACTGACAGGATCTATCAATAGGATTACATGTTCCGTTATTGGTACAGGTGCATATGCCAATGCAGTTCTTGCCAAATCTGCCACTGGGACATACTGAGAACAAGTTGTCAGGATTAGAACTCCTTAGTCATCAGAACAAGATTGTATTTTCTTTATTTCAAATTAAAGCAACTGGTACTTGGATCAAGAAATGTGTTGCTTGGTATAATGTTAAAGTAAGGCATTAAAAATTCTGGTAAGACCATTATACATACTCATTATACAAATAATGAAAACAAGAATACAATGGGTTTTATGCTTCAGGATCAAATGTTCAAACAGCTTAAACCTGCTTAGGATATCTAATTTATAAGCTACACATACTGAAACAAAAACTATTTTTAGTTTTATTGTTTCCCAATGATGAAATGAAAATTATTACAGTGCTTGGTCTGCATCCCATGAAGTCTTTATTACAACATGTACCTTCATTACAGAGGGCTCCTGTAAATCCAGGTAAGCAGTCACACAAGCCAGTAATGTGGTGGCAGGGTCCGCTGCTGTGTACGCACTGGGGGCATGTCTGACTGCAGCGGTGTCCATAAAACCCAGGGGAACAAACTGGAATCAGAAAGAACAAATTGCCATTCCTTCCTGTATTTTCTATATGGCTGTGATCTACCCTTCAGTGCATGAGTTCCTGATTTGTAATCAGCTCTCCTTTCTAAATAGACAAGAATTGCAGTGGTGGTTGTTATGATCCATAAGGTCCCATGCTTTACACTGAGAAAAGGAAATTTGCTAGTCTTCCTCAAGGGTTTACTATACTCGAGCTAGTAATGATTTTGTTGACATTCTATTACCTGTGAGGCCTCACTGTATTTGAGTTACATTTGAAATGCATGTATACTATATATATGTATTTTGCTATACATTACATGTCCTCTGCAACATGTCTTTTAAAGCACGTTTGAAGAAAAGTAATTTAAAAAAAATAGAGTGGATAGTTTTATCTGTAGATGACTAGGGTCATCTTAGACCTTGACTTCTGTGTTTCCTAAGTCAGAATACAAATAGCCATTCCTTCACTGAGAAAAACACAAATGTTTTCCATTCATCCTTTCATTTAGGTATTCACTGTACTCATTACATGGTACTGACAGCTATGCATCACCTAACTTTTAGGGAACATAAGAGCAGAAATAGAGAGTTATTCACTTAATTCTTACATTCAAGGCACTAGGTGGGGGGAAGGGAAAGGAGCTAAAAAAAGAAAACTTTTGTATAAAATCTCCTTTGTTGCTTTAATCCCTTTTGGCATTTATTTCCTGATAAATTAGAATATTAGGTAATGCATCAAGAGAAATACCTGTTTCACAGCAGCAATTAGCACTGATGAAAACTAACTTGGAATCTTTTCAGTATTTTAATTTCATTCAAGATTCAGTCTTTTAATTATACACTCGATACAAGTTATGTGGCCAGACTTTTCCAGAGAGATTAACTTTTCCAAGTGAAACAGTGCCAAAAGGTCTTCCTGTTTACTGAAAAAGCACTTTCTGACTGGGATCCAAATTATTCATATGACTTTTGTCTTACCAGCCTCCAGACTGTACATCAGAGAGGGACTCTCAGAGCCACTGGACTGGAAGCCTCTTGTCCAGGTTATAGGCACAGTTCCAAAACAGAGGGAACATTTTTATATGTAGTGTTACAGTTAGTCTGCCTTTGGATTAACTGATTAACTGCTAGGCAATTAGAGATTAGATAGCAAGAATAATTTCTGCAGTTAGTTAGAAATGCTTAAGGAATACTAATGCAACACTAGTGTGGGATTTAGCAGTGCCATAGGCAATCACATCCTTCAGCTTGAAATCTTGCCATTCCTAGACTGTAAGACCTTGCCCTCCTCTGGTTCTCCTACCTTCTAGTAATCATTTCATTGCATCTCCTGCCTTTTAAGCCTCTTTTGGAGAGCCTATGAGCACTTGGCCTTACTACATCTGCTTCTTGACCCTGTTTGTGGAAGACCTCCTCTCAAAACAGGGCTACCCTCCAAGTGCAGAGGACTCACATTTCTCTCCTCTGAACACCTTTCCCTCACAATTCAGACTGAAGGCAGCTAGACTGCAGACAAACTGTAACAAATCTTGGAAGGGTAGATATTCTGTGCATCAGCTTATTTTTGCCTCCCTGTTTTTTCTATGATTTGCCTCAGTTCATCTGTATCTCTCTTCCCTTAGCATTTAAATTTTACAGAGACAATTTTTCCAAATGCAACTATGGGTACATATGAAATCATCTACTTACTGTAAGGCCTTATCCCACTGGCCATTCTTTGCTGCTTCAAAATAAGTGTTAAAAGAAAGCAGTAATTTAGCCAATGATTAGATTCAATCGGAAGCCTGGGGTTCTCGCTGCTGAATCTCATTTACCTACTAAAATATGTATTACAAAATTAATGTTCATCAATCACATTTGGAAATGCCTTTAGAATGGAATGCCCTTCTAAATTTGTTTCTTTGAAAGCCATGTGCATAGCAATGTCACAGCACAGACAGTGAACAGAAGTTCTACAAGAAGAGGACTACTAGTTGGAAACACTTTTTCATTTCAAGTAACACTTATTTCTGTATATTCATACCTACAGAATATAATTTGACTCAATATCCAATCAAGGAGAGTTTCATAGTACTTCATACTACAATAAAAAAAGCATTATGGTATGATATTCCAAGTAAGGGAGAGAGAAATAGAGATTTTAAAGCATTTATTTTGTCCTTACTTCTCTGACAAGTGGTGCCTCTGTATCCTGGTGCACACTCACAGATTCCGTCATCTGGAGAGCAGGATGCTCCGTTTTTGCAGTAACAAGACAATGAGCAATTTGGACCCCACTGTCCCTCAGCACACACACTGTCACAGTGAATGCCTGCAATCATAAATAAACAAAACTGTCACCCTTTGTAAAGAACTCTTACACATAGTTAGTTTAAACCTTTGGTCCCGAGGAATAATTTTTAAAACAAAGCTAACGAAACTTTTTTATGAAAATATCACTAACATCAGGAAAATAGAACAAGGTAAACTTGCATCTCTGCTCCTGCCTTCCCCCACAACAGTGAGTTTCTTTCATTTTCCAGTTTTGAAAGATGTACATAAGGGCTGATCCTGAGTTCTGTAACAGGAAAGCACTTCTGCAGATTTACAGAGAACGTGAGAGGTCCATGAGATGCTACCTCAAGGCTTCCTACCTGCAGATACTTTAATATCTAAAAAGATGAATGCAAACCTCTGCACAGGATAAAAAGTTTGATAATTTTCCAAGACATTTACACATACAAAAATTTTAAAAGGTCTTTTATTCCTCACACTTTCACCGCTGGTATCAGTAAAAAGAATAAAAAGAAGTAAGTAATTTAAATGCAGCAAAAGAATGGCTTTTGCTTCCTCCATGATGGCTGTTTCAAAACAGCAAAAGTTTATATTCAATTTTTATGTTAGGGAAACGCACGACAAAATGTTTTGCAGAAACTTTTCCTCCTCAATGTAAAAATACTTAAGGTCTGACATAATTTTATATAATAATGGGGTGCAAGACATGGAATGATTTCTAATTAGTCGTGAGCTGATTACTGGTCAGCCTCATACCAAATGGAAAAATGTAGCACACACAAAGGGTTTCCAAACACACCATGTGAACATTCCAAAATGCTTAGCTGCAACAGTGTTAAGGATGCTGGTCAGTCAGTGCTTTGTCTAACCATTTTTGGCATAAAATTTATTATAAAATGGCCACAACCTGGACACCTATACATAAATCATAATGCAAACTGCTAACTACAATCATCCAGTCATGCGGTGTTTTATTTCTTTGCAGTGCAGCAACATTAGATATAACTTTCCTATTTGCTTTTTCCACTATCTGCTTTCTAAAAGCGTGCTGCATGTTAAATGCCAGCAGGCACCACTGTGGAACTCAGACCGTATTGTGTCTACAGTACTTTGCATTAACAATTAAGTGTTATTGTAGTGCCTCTACTGAATGAAGCCCTTCGCTAAAGGAAAAGTGGATTGCATCCAACCACAAGCATGTCTTGCTTTGTAAGTATTTCCAGCAAAATATGCCACAGGTTCACTGGCTGCCAGTGTCCTAAAAAAGCAAAGGAGTTTCACATGTGACATGAAAAAGTTCTTTTAACTTTGAAAAGCAAAACCTATTGTTTGTAACAAGACTGAAAAATAATTACACTCTTTACTGATAGACCAGACTTAGAGGTGATTCCTCAACCCTTGCAGCATTTGCCTTGTAAAGCTGCCTGTATCCAAATACCTAACTTTCTAACTAGAGGAAAGGTGAAACTCTAGACTCTTAAATTGTTTGTTTATTTGCAACACAATCAACAGATTGAATAATCGAATATGTGGTTCAACAGTTTGCACCAATTGACGCCAACAAGGGAGAAAATACATGGCTTTTAGAATCCAGACACCAACCAGCAGCAGACAGTACATGGGCAACCTAAAAGCCCCAGCTGTACAATGACCATTGGTTAATACTGATCTAAGCCAAATTTATTGTCAAAAAATGTAAGGTCTCCTATATCACTAGTTTATTTCATTTTTGCCTGTGTAAGTAATGTTATTCTTCTGTCTTCATCTACATTTGAGAGTCACTGTAGGCTTGCTTCTCAGAAGCCTGGGCCAACTTTTTCAATAACTCCCTATTTGTGGATAAATAGATAAAACAGAGTGGTATGATTCTGAAAAATGCTGATGCACATGAGCTGGATGAGATCACATTGCTTTTTTTTAGAAACAAGACCACTTATATTTCAATCTGTAAGATTGCTCTGCTTTAGGTTCCCCAAAGTCAAGAACTCAGGTTTATAAGTCTGTGAAAGCACAAGTAGACACACGCAGAGCATCTCAGAATCAAGCCTGGCATTCTGTTCACATGAGTGTTATCTGTCATATCATACATCGCTTCACTCACTGAACCCTGCTAGAGAAAAGACATTTTTCACAGAGCTTTAATGGGTTTCAGTAGTGTTCAGTATACAATGGTCACTATTAACAAGTCAGCGGTTGCCAAGAGTTACCATAGTGCATTATCTGAGATTATGTAGACCAGTGACATACAATAACACCAGGCTCAATTATATCGTCTTGATCTGTGAACAGAGGATGCTTTATGACAGCATGGTGTCGAAGGGTGATACTGGGCACACTGGGATAGAAGACAATGGGCCCCATGCTGCATAGACCCACGATACTTAAAAGAGCCAACAACTACCATTAAAAATAAAAAGGAAAAGATTCCTCCAGTATACATCAGGGAAAATTATCCATTAGGGAAACTGAAAAAACTTACCTTTTTTTTTTCCCACTTTCACCCCTTATAGTCAGGTGAAGAATGGTATCACCCTACTTAGCAAAGAAACAGTGCATCCTGAATATCACTGGGTAATAACTATGAGAGTATAATATACTGCAAATGTGCTGACCAGTACTTCTGTTCCACTACAAAAGAATTCTACTATATTCATTACTGACCACAAGCAAAATTAGTTTCACTGCTCTGTGTGCATGCCAAGAATGAATGTAGCAAAGCTGAAATACCAGTACATTTAGTAATTTATTGCATCTCTACTTATAAAAAAGATTTTAAAATCTCAGTTATTTAGATAAATTCACAAAGCACTTACAAGAAACTGATTTTCACATCTTATAGCTGTAAAAATCAAATGTGTATTTTTGAGGAAGAATAGGCTAGAAATACTAAAAGGATTAAAAAATTGAAAAAAGAATATTCCAGATTGACACTTTTTATGAAATTTCAGCAAAGAAAGGTATGCTTTTATAGAAAAACTAAAAATTTTTGAGGAAAAAAAAATGCTTTCACTAGAACTTAGAAAGCAAGATTAGACTTGGGTTTTACAATAATGATATCAACAGTGCACTGGCTTATCATTGCCACGATTTAAAGCGAGTATTAATCTCTTATACAATGAAATGTTTTTTTATAAGTTTTTCATGTTGATTTTGATAGTGATAAGGATATCTGAGAGGAAATGTTTTTGCCAGCGCTATGGACAAAGAGCTCTTTGATGGACTTCACAAGTTGCTAGGCAATAGCTGAATGGTCATGATAAACTTCAGCTAAGCTACTCTGAAGAAATGCTCATGCATTTAATGCCCAGCGCTTTATGCTGGGGGCCTCACATCTAAATCAGCATTCCCCCAGCATTCGTAATTGCATGAATGAAGTAAATAAATTCTTTAGGGATACCAGCGTTTTTGCCCATGCCAGCAGAGTGTTTACATACTCCCTCTGCTATATTTTTAAGTTGAGACTCAATGATCCACCCCAGTCTGATCAACGGACAGCTAATTTGTTTTAGCACTTGAAGGGGAAAAAAAAAATCTACCAATTATTTCTTACAATCTTCCTAGGTAAATTTATTATTGGACTAAGCGCTATTTTACAGCTTATTATGTTTCCATTAGTCTGATAAGTAGTTATTCAAGCTTTAAAAATGTTTGGGTTTTTTTCCCATGAAGAATGTGTATTTGCTGTACAATTTATCTTCACAACACATGGAGCTTTCCTGCACAGACTCTCAGAATTATAACTAATTTGTGTATTGGTGTACTTCCCCTATATCAGAGCTAAACTGGATAGGCAACAGCCTAAATAAGAGAAGGATCAAGGCCTCAAAACTTGGGGAAATTTTAGTGTCATTAAAACTAATGGTATATTTACATTATGGTCCAAGATCTCACCCTTCATATTCTTTCTTCATATGAGAGAAACAAACACTAGATCGCTTCTGTTCAAGGAAACTGAGATTTCTGATGGTGGCAGTTACTCCCCTCCTTTTGTCAACTGATGGAGGAGCAGCTCAAAGAAAGGAGAATACGGGATATAAGAAAGGGATATGGTGAAAAACTTTGTAGGCACTATTTAGCAGTGTCCTAATTGTCTTTAAGGGAAGAAAAGTACCTTGCCCCCTAGCTGAAGACAGCCAGACTAAATAAAAATGCCTCAAATTAAGGAGCTAATGAAAGGATCAAAGATTTTTCTTTAGATGTTCAGACTGCTGCTTCTTCACTGCCACAGTAGGAGGGTTTGTGCCCATGAGTTTTGGTAGGAAGACAGCTACAAAAGCTTGGAAATAAACCCACCACTGTAACAGAGTTTGAAGGCAAACATCAGTATCTACAAATTTTAGTGGAAGAATCACTTTTGAGACATCCCCAGTATCTCTCTGAAGGCCATACTTTTGCTACATCCTGTTATTCACTCCAGAGAAGCTCTTCATCTAACACATTTTGTATAGCCACAAGAAAATAGTACTTCTCCGTTTCTTACCTTCCTGATAGGTAGAAAATAAATGTACTTAATCCACTGATTTAAAGTTCTTCTTCAAAAAAAGTGGTATTTCTCCCACATAAAGACCCAGCACAACACACAGGCAATAGAGATACAGACACAGTGAAGTCTGGATGTAGGGTAGGCCAAATCTCTTATTGAAGAACTCATCTCCCTAGGTTTGGAAAGTAAATATGCCACTTATCAAGACACAGTGCCCACATATAATTGCATTTTGTGGCACACTGAATATTCGTCACAATGGGAGGGACATCGTGTACCAGGAACCATATGGAAAACAGCCAAGGTGGAGGAAAACACATGTTCATGCAAGGGGTTCTCCTCTTGGGTTAACCACAGTGTCAGCATCATGCACACTACTCTAGCAGAGCTTGTTTCTCACTCTTAAGGAGAGGGAAACCCATGAAAGCACTGGTTTATAACTTTTATTCTTCTATGTAAGAAGGGAAGAAAGTGCGTACACATTAAAAGCTAAGGACCGAAGAAGAGTTGTAGTTAGTGCTTCCCAGTGGACCTGGTTATTTGCATCAGTGTGGCAGGTGTCATATGACAGTCCTCCCTGTTATAATCCAGCAACAAATGTGCCTCTTAGAAATAATGTCAGGAGCACATGGAAGTCACAGCACTTCATCACAGGAACAACACATCTGGTGATGAGCAATCTGACTAGTGTCAGCAGGTGTCCAGCACAGCAAAAACTCACCAACACCCTATCTGCTGTAGCATATGGATAAACATTATGCACACTGGTAAAATGTAGGCTGATGCTACTGCATCTGTCTTTCCCATACACCAGTGCTATTGTTTTTTTTACAGATAGCAGACTAGTGGTATTTAGTAATCCCCGGCACCACCTAACCTTTAAATTGATTTTAAAAATAACAAATGTTGTATCAGGATGACATGACATTTCTTCACAGAGAAGTCTAGAAGAACTGCACCCAGAAAAGCACAACAGTAATGTGTATCACACAGAGTAACACCCACATTACTGTAATACAAACTTTGTCCTTTTTACAATGCTTTCATGTGAAATCTGTTTGCAAGAATGTGAACTCTCTAATTTTTTAGGGAATTCGGAAAAATTGTATTTTGACAGCTGCTTGCGGAATTAAGGGATGAAATTAACAGTTACCATGAACTGTGGTCACTGAGAGAAATGGTAGAGGTGGCTCTTGGAAGTTAACTAATGTTTTGGTGTAAATTACTAGACGAATTAATTATCACTGCCTATTGCAGGAATACATTTTCTGTGTCTTTCTTCTGCTTTCTGTTTTAATGGTTCTTACTCTTCCGCTGTCTAACTATTGCACTCTCTCCAAATGAAGAAGTTATTTATAAGATACAGTGAAAACGTCAAGGGACGAGAGTGTTTGGGGCAGACATCATCCTCAGCGTGGGCAGTGTTTCTCGTTTGTGCCATCCGATCATGTGACTCCTGGAACATGATGGAATGGTCAGATTGCCAGGAAAAACATCACCCTTAACTCTTGCTTTTCTAAGCAGAATAAGGCTGCTATTTAGGGAGCATTTGGTGTAAATTAGACAGCGTAGGATTTCTAACAGGAGCCCCATAAATGAAGTCACTTTTGTTTAGATTAAAAAAATCTAACTATCCTCATAGGCAACAGACCCTAAATTAAAAACAGAAACCCTAAATTAAAACAGAACCTAATGAAAACAAATTTTAATTATTTCTTGAGTTTTATAGCAGCTCATGAAAACACAATAGTCACTAACTGAACTTACATGTTTGTTCTTAAGCAGGACCTAAGAAGCAAAATATAATATATCGGGCCTGTTAAAAATGAAATAACACAATTAAACCCCCTAAACTACATAGCATCTTATTGTTGTCCCAGTGCTCAGCTGCAGGTGTATCTTGAGACTAAAGTAAAGGGTAGGATGTTAGCTAGGCTACCCTTTTGGTAAATGACAGTAGCACTTATGTCCACTTCAGCAGCTCAGACCTCCCTCCCTGCGCAAAGGAACATGCGCAGCACCAGGCTAGTGACCTCACTCCCTGTGCATCATGCTTCCTGTTCCCCAGTGTTACGGTACAACTCTGTCATACAGCAAGGGAAAAAATCTTCCACCCTCCATTTATTTTTGCAAAGTTACATAAACTATTCCCTCTGATTAAATTCCCTAGGGAAAGTGTAGACAACTGCTCTTTTCACAGGGCTAAGAAAAATACTACATTTAAAATATGTATTTGGAAACTTTATATAATTTTGGTGGCATCAAAACATATGGGAAAGTTCACGTTGGACTCATCAATTTATACCAGATGAAACAGAAAAAAGACTCACAGGTCACATTTCTAAACCTCTTCAAATGTATTTATTTTTTAACATTACTCTTTCAATGTTTTATAAACATCTAAATCCTTCATTTGGGTTAGGTAAGCATTAGACTGATCCAAAATCAGTTTCTTCCTCTCTTTGGTAGGTACTACTAACCACCAAAAAACCGTTAAGTCTGACGTTTCCTTTAACAAATTTGGCAGAAAAAAAAATCTAATCTATTCTAACATAATTTGTTTCATTTTAGTACCTTTCCATATTTTCACAAATCCTCCATCTGATTCTCCACCTATTATGCATACAAATACACACAGAACCTCCCTTAATCCTACAATCTAATGCTATCTCTGCAATGTAACATTACAGTACAGCTATTTGAGAACTTGTTTCTAAAGTATTCTCTCCTTTTTTTAATCATTCTAAATATAAATATCTACACAAAGACCAAATTCCTCACGGGTATTGCTCTGACATGCGAAGTGTGGGAGGAGGATTTTTCCAGACACTGAGTATAAAGCTAACTATGCTGTTTATGTTATATTGTCTGTCTAGACATCACCAGCATGTTGAAACTAGTCTGTTACACACGCTGTTGTGATGACATCATCCAGGGACAGATACTCAATTTTATCTGTAATCATGCATGAAGTCTTTCTAGTGAAATCTTACTAAAACCTAGTGAAATCTGTATTAAAAATGAAGACCAAAAAAAAAAAAAAAAAAGATTTCACTAAAGGCAAAAGAATTGTCACATTTTCAATACCCGAGTTCAAGAGTTCAAGCACAGTCAAGGTCTGTGCTATGCTTGAAGCCTTTGTCACATCCCAGGTTAGTTATAGCACACTGGTTAGGTAGCTTTTATACCTGTTATAAAAAGTTGCTAAATTTTTTGTACAGCCTTTCCAAACTACTTATTATAATACAGCTTCACTCAGTAACATACTTTTGATCTCAATATTAGAACACTCACAAGATGTATTTTGAGCAGTACGTCTGGAAATTATGAAGAGCTCTAACTGCCTATGCCATGATTGCTCAAGATCAGGAACTGTTCACATGTTTTTAATATGGGTATTCTTTGCTTAATACATTTGTTAATTTAAGGAATCATATTTTGAGAAGATCCAAATATAAGTTTGAGAAAGTTGTTCAAACACACACGCACAATTACCTGGAACTAGCTGTAAATGAGAACAGTTATCAAAGGCATTAACATCATAACAAAATAAACACAAAATAGTGTCTCACAAAATAGTAATAGATGGCATAATGCTAATAGCATATTTTCACAATTCACTCAGATAACTTTTATTATTTTTGCACTCTTGTGGTAGTAATTTCCAAGAGGTATCTAAGTGGCTGATGTTAAGTCGCACTGCCAGCTTGTGGAAAAGGATTAAAACCAACAAACTCCTGGCTCAGTTAGGTGAGTGCTGGCTCTGAAAGCCTCTCTCTTTCAACACTGAAAAGGGCAACAATGGGGAGACCCAGTGATCAGACAGGCATTCTCAGAGAACTTTGCAGAAGCTTAATATACAGACAAATTGCACAAAATATAAGTGGGTTTGGACTTCCAAAGCAAAGCAGGAGCCCTTTCTCCCCACGTCTGTATCCCTGAGAGATTTCTACTGTCTACCCCTTTCCCTCCCAGTAATTACAAAAGTCATGTTCATCTGAACAGAAAAGTAGAAAAAAACACCAGGTAAGCTGTAATCAACTACAACAAATCAACCTGAACTGCAGACTGTAAGTATTACAAAGTTTGAACAAAATGCCTGTGATCCATCTATGGAGCTAAGGGGGTAAGGAGGAAAAGGCATATGAAAAAATCAAATCTGGGGAAAAAATTCAGTAAAGATTGTACCCGAGGAAGTCATAAGCTCTACACAAACTTTTGTGAGCACAATTATTTGCTAAGCTTTTCAAATAAATGACTTGCTGCAGATTGTCTGCTCACCTCCATCTACTATGTCTGGAAGCGAGCACCAGAGAAAACAGAAAACAATTACATCACAAACCTGCAAGTTACTAAGGAAAAATATTAACTTATAAATGAGTGGACAATAAATAATACTAGATTATATCTGAAATCACAAAAACCACCCTCCTTTCTTTCACAGCAGAAACATGCTAATACACTTAAGGTGTATTTTTCATGCTAACTTACCATAATTAAATGGAAGGAGTCCATACAGACAGGTGATACGAAACCTGACCCATGCAACACTAACAGTATCCCAGTGAGACAAAGTCCAGAATGCTCAGAGAAGGGCAAACTTACAGTGTCAATCAAACCTTACAGAAGACGGAAGTGTTTTCCCAACACTTATTGCTTAGAAATCTATGTGAGCACCAAAACTACCTCCTAGAGATAAAGGGAACATTTCATGATAGCTTGCCCTTAAATAGCTTCATCGTGTTTTCAAAAAATCTTGGTTTCCTCAAATGAGTGAGGGTAACAACAGTGTCAAATACAATTTTTGATTAGTAATTAAATATATATCGTTCTTAAAACCACAATGAAAATGCTGGAGAAACTGTGAAAAAAAGTGCAACAATTTACATCCAAAACAAAATATGTCCAGAGAAACAATTTTTTCAACAGTTTGAGAAACTCAAATGACAGCATAGCTTTTGAACAATTTATCCTCTTTTTGGCTGCCTGAGCAAAGATTTCTGAGTTCCTCCTGGATGGGATGCTGTACGTACCAAAGCTGCCAGTGCAACCTTGAATATTTACAGCTATTCAACACTTTCATAAGGAATCATATGGTAGAGGTGACCAAGTGTTAAGATTTCCCCTTCTATTCCCAGTTTTCTATGATCCCATGCTGAACAAATTTTCCACACATGTGAATCACGGATGGGACACAGCAGCCACAGAACTGGCCCTTTTCTTCTTCCAACCCCACATACTCCTCCATTCCTCCTCTACCCACAAAACCAAAAGGCAAGACCAAGTCCCAAATGTGTTGGAAACTCTCTTATCCTTCATGACAGCCTTTTTTCTACCTGACCATCCCGGCAGACAGCGACAGTATCCTGTGGTGGGATGACAACCATCTGCATGGCTGCAGTCACAGCGTTCAGCACAATCCAGACCATATGTGCCGTCCTGTGGCAACAAAAGAAACCAAACAACTCAGAGATGATGACAATTGGAAGTTAGAGGAGAACAAATTCTGGTCAGACCTCAAAAAGGAACCCCTGATCTCTCCTGCATCCATAATCTGCTTCCTTAAGATAAAATGGCTTCTGGAACATTTTAGTGTCCTACACCTCCATTCTCCATTTAAAAGGGGAAGATAAGAATTACATACATTCTCCTGAAAAATCCCAGACTAATGGACCTGGAGACAGTGATTCAGAACACAGCAACAGGCTGCAATGAAAGCTTTCTTGTACTGTCCCTCTGATTTCTCTTACAGCTGAGTTCCTACTCCAGGATCACGGGGTGCCTTGACGGAAAAGCAATTCAGCCTCCCTTCTGCCTCAGACCCTCAGCGCTCTATGTGTTGGTCAAAAACAGTATCACGTAAATCCACAACTTCTAAACAGGAGTAGTAAACCATCACATTAAAATATGTCTTCAGTGTGAATTTCAGTGCTTAAACAACGCAAACTGTATCATTTTCTTTTGATTAAAACCCCTTACTTCTGCATTACAGTGTATACTATGTTAAAAAGAGAAGCTCTTTGGCTATGAGACAGTACACAGAACAAAATTATTTTTTAGCTATGCAACATTTTTTGAACCACAAGAGAGATTAAAGTTACAAGCTGAACACCCATCTTGGGGTATTCAGCTGTGCCAAAAGAACACAGCTGATTTTCATCTAACTACATCTAAATATCTGAATTAGCCTTTTCTGCTTCTTCTGTAGAAGATGGCACAAACATTTTGGGGCAATTCCACATAAAATCGATCTGAGAAATTGAAGAGAAAAATCTTTACAACTGCATTCTCAAAACAAGGCAAAGTACAACACTAAACATATACAGAAAAAGTGTCAAAACCAAATTAAAAAACTATGGAAAAAAAGTAAGTATAATTTAACATAATATAATGTGGAGTTACCCACAGCAAAGGCAAAAAGGAAAAAACATACCAGCTTTGAAACCCAAACATTTATATTTGAGGCTAAAAATTGGTCTCAGCCACATTAAAAACCAGAATAAAACCTATATGAAAATTTATCTACTGTCCTGCAGTATTTTTAGTCTGGTATGTATTTAAATTGAAGTTTTAACTTCAGTCAAATCTTGGGTAACAATCTGGGCAGTGATACTAATTTTCTGAAGTTTTTGAAACTAACTAACTGAAATACATTGATTTAAATAAACTCTGTTCAACAAGAGAAAAATCAGACAACATTGGACACATCTGAGTAAGTTTTCTGTTTATTATCCTGTTCTGGAATTTTGAGGCAGAATACCATTTGAAATATGTAAATGCTTGGGACATCATTTGACACAGAGAGAGCGAACAAGACAATGGGCATAGGCACGCTCAATTATATCAAATAAAAATGCTTTTAAGCATTACTTTGCTAAATTTGGAACAGTAAAGCCAATGCCATGAAACAATACCTAAGAGTAAAGAGCTAATGGAGCTTGGGAGATAGAATCATCCTTCAGAATCAGACACTAAGTGATAAAGCTGCTTTAGGAAGAAGAAAAATGATGGAGATGCATTGTTGGAAACACTGCATCAGCATGCACAGATGGTACTCTAATCAGCTCTCCAGAATATTTTAGAATTTGCTTGCCACTTTACTCACTGTATCAGTGTACACTATACTTCATCGTAAAACAAACAAACAAGAAAAACCTTAACAAAAATATCCCTTCTGAGTATTCCAAGAGCAGTTCGAGAGAACAAATTTTCATTCAAAACAGAGGTGCAGTTTCCAGTCTTACACGGTATATAGGTCAGCCTTTCTGTATCATGTTATTGCTCAGTAAAGCAAGTTCAAACTGACAGAAGCTTGAATGTGATATGGGTGGGGAATTTACAAGGTTTATGTTCAGTTCAGGTAATTCCTGAATACAATTCCTAATACAGTTATATTAAACCAACAACCTGCTATGCAGTGAATATTGCAAAAGTAAAAAAAGAAGACAGTGAAGAGGAAAAGGAGAGCCAAGAGAGGGTCTCTGACACGCTGCCAGCAGAGTTCTTGCAGGACAATTGTTGGTGCATGTCCCTGATCTGGAACCCAGTTGCATATGGGCTACCAGCTGCCGTGCTCTTAATTCCCATGAAGTCAGCAGAAAAAAAGAGCATGCCCCTGCCCAGCATTACCCCACAGTGCAAAATTCAGTGAAATTATTAAACTACCTGGCAAGGGAGTTCACATTTTTCTCCTCTCCAGCCTGGGGCACATGTACAGGTTCCATCCAGAGCATTGCAAGCCCCTCCATTAAGACACTGGCAAGTTAAGTTACAGCCAAGTCCCCAGGTACCCCTGGGACAATTTATTGAGCAATCTACACCATGCCAACCTGCCAAAATTAAGAAAGTGAGAAATTAATCAGGTTTTGCCCTCTTCTTCTCTGAGGATGTTTCTCCTCTGCCTACATGTGGCATCTCTTGGAGATGTGCGATACTGGGGTAACATTAACTACAGGCTAGTATAAGCAGTTTCAGCTGAGGACTTGTCCAGGTTTGAACAAAGGTGCTCAAGGGCACCTTGCAACATCTGTGCACAGCACACATTTGCAGATCAGTGCCAACATACAAAAGCAATTGATGGGAGATCTGAAATGAAAACAGACACCTTGAAATTTCACTGAGAAGCACTAAACTATACTGAAAGTTTTAAGGCATAGCCTGAAAAAAACACAGGAATATTTTCCCTAGAAAGCTGCTGCTGTCATAATTCTCCCACCAGTGTTCAATACAGACAGTTCTGCAATACTTAAATCTAAGACACACAAAAAAGGAAAAACTTAAATCTTAGACACACAAACAAGCGAAAACATCAAAGTAGTGTGTAAGTTGGATTTCTCCAAGGATACATAGAAGAACTTTTAAATGATTTCTGTGCTTCTTTCCAAATACTGAAAAAAGAATATAACAGAAAAAGGTTCCAAAATGCAGCATTCGTCACTGATTATGCCTGATAGCAATGATTCACAGACTGCACACTGTATAGACAGACATGTAAATACATTTTTTAAAATGTGATCATTTATTGGATACAAGAGGAATGGCATGAACCAGTCATTTGTTATCATCAGCAATGACACATACTGAGTTTCTAATTTTGTACCTTGTTTACAGTAAGCAAAGGGAAAAATAATTCCACACTGAGCCTAATCAATAGACAATGCAAAACACATGTATTGAAATGAAGCTGCCTCGTATCCTGGCTTGATAACTTTTAATTTAAGGGTCATTTCAGGAAAAAATATTATACCATACTCACTAAAAAACAGACATTTTTTCTCAAGTGTTTTTCTAGAATTTATTAATTTCTTTCACTTATATGACAAATATCTAGGTTTAGTTTAATTTCACCATTTGCTGTCCTTTTTCATCACAGTCTGAGTAAAACTGTATGATGCACCAGAAAGCAAGAGTATGCATGGCTCAAACAAGAGTTTTTCTCCTCAAGACCTAGCTACTTAGGATAGTTGCTTAGCTACTTACCAGTTAAATCGTTTCCACTGCCTATGGCTGAAGTAGAAACTGGAAACTTCCCACATTGCTACACAATTGATTTGTTACCAGTCCCTTACAAATTTAGTGGCTATTTGCCTAAGTAACTCTGAACACTTTTCCCCCACTCTCAACCTTGTGTACTTTTTGAAGAACATTTTTAGATGGGAGGGGGTATCCATAACATAGGCTGGGCAAGGGATTTGCTTGGGAGCATTCAACAGCCTGCTCCTCTCTTCCCAGCAATCCAGCACCACAGCTGAGGGATGCTAGACTTCAAATCCTTCCTCACAGCAGAAGTGAAAAAGAGAACAGGTGTACTGCAAGAGTAGATCTTTAAGTGAAGATGAGCAGCATATTTTGGATTGAACAGGAACACCATGTGGACTTGTAGACCTTTATATGGGAAAACATCTCTGCAGAACCAGCACTGGAGGACGCCTCAAGGATCTTTGCTCCAGCCAAAGGCATGTGCTGCTGGGGGATGGAAAGGTGGACAGGCACATACAGTTGCTAGTAGGAGGTACACTGACCATCAAAATTACTGCAGGGAGGAGAGAGCCAGGCAGAGGGGCCAAGGAACATGAGTCCACTGGCACTAATACTGGGAAATTCAGGAAGTTTCTTGTGGAAGCAGGGAACTATAGATGGCACAGGCTGGGAAGGGGGTTAAGGCAAGGTTTTGTCAGAGAACTGATGAAGAAATAACATTCAAATCGAAAAAAAATGCCAGTAGATGTCAACGTCAGTGCGAGACTGTCAAGAAGAAGTCTGAATCTCTGTAATGCTGAGAGAAGCAAGGGTGATAGCCAGAGATGGTACTCCCTGGGGCTGAGGTATTTTGACTAGGAAGGCTAACATCAGGTAAATGGCACACTAGCAACCTTCTAGCAGACCACAGTGCTACCACAAGAATCAGTGGTGGCCCATCTCAGAGTAAACACTAGTAAATTGCCTAGCCAGCGTATCCAGCCCGCTGATAACTGCATGGAGGAAAGATGAACACAAGATGCACACACTTCTCTGAGCAGATACTCTCCTAGTTTTCGCCAACCAGAGTAATAGAAGCAGAAAGTATCTAGTGATATGGTCTTCAAGGTGGTCTGCTTTTAATTAAGTTTCTTTCTTCTTCTCTACTTTAAAAACTCAATTTCATTTTATGATTACAGAAAAAGAAAATTAATCTTAAGTGACACTTACCTGCTCTGCAGGCACAAGAACCATCTACTGGTGAACAGATGGCATCATTTTTGCAGTTGCACACAGATGAACAGTTTACTCCGTATGTCCCCGGAAGACAAGGAGTGCCACAGGTAGCACCCTGAATTACATGAAAACAAGAGTCTAAGAACTATTCCAGGAGGTCAGACAGTACAACTAATAAATGACTTAGACTGACTCAGGTGCTACAAAAGCCAGAAAACATACAATTAGTGACTATCCAAGGCTGTCACTAAGTTATCCTGAATTTAAGGGACAGGGAGTCCTTAAAGCTTTTTAAGTCTATAGTAAGCATTAGTTTACTATTAGTTGCTGTGATTAAAAGCTATTGTTCCTCCTTTTATTTACACCTCAACAGCACACCCTCTTTCTATCAATGTCTTTCAGAGCAAATAACTTTTGTTTCTTAAAATGGCTTCCTTTCAGTACTGAGAATCAACAATAAATTTTGTTTATAAGACACCCAGTGGTATCTAAGTGTCTTTACCTCTTTTACTGTGGTGGAGAAAGGACACACTAGCATTTTGAAGAATTTGGCACCTAACTCAAGGCTGTGCAAGTGAGACTTATTTACCTTAAATCCAGGGGCACAGGTGCACTTTCCAGTCACACTATCGCAGTCAGCACCATTTTGGCAGCTGCAGATCTGCTGACATGACTCACCATAGAACCCCGGGGAACATGTCTCGTTGCAGTAGAGCCCAGACCAACCAGGCTTGCAGGAGCATTCCCCAGACATAGGGTGACAGCTGCCGGGGGGGGGATGAAAGGATAAATAATTCAAGACTAAACATGACTTTTTTTTTCTCCCTAGATAAGCACATGTTGTTATAGATGGGTTGCATAATGGATCTTGCATACAGACGGGTTTACTCCCCAAACCACAAAGCAAACGGTTCTGTATATGTATGTATAAATACATACTAATAAAGAAATGCAACAACATACAACATACAAACGTTTTGGGAGGACATGAAAAGAAACGAAGAGGTATTGGTTTTCTACAGCAAGTTCAAAGAAACTTACCCAAAACACAGTTTTTTCCATAAAATAGATATCCATGGTTGTAAATATTAAGGTGATGAAAACATTACATTTCCCAGAATGTATTATTAGGCTTCCACTCTAATAGGATAACTTTCATAATGCTGCCCAATTCAGCAGCATGTTGTCTGACAGATATGATGCTTTGGAAAAATAACATGGCATCCAACACAAAATAACAACACAGCACTCAGTGAGTAGCAAGCATGCTCTTTTCTTTAAATTATTGGTTGAAAAGATGACAACTGGCATTTTTCCGGGAATGATACAAAATCATTTGCATTGGGTGGAAGTCAAATATACCATCAGAGCAGTGACCTTCTGGAGAGTCTTTCCCCTATGCTGGCCATACCTGATGGCAGACCAGCTGTCTCTACCTGGAACAGCAGTTTCATTGAAGGGCCAGTCAGACAGCTGCTGTCTCATAACAAATGGACATCATCAGCTGTGCAAAGATATATGCACTGGAAAAGTGGACACAATGGGGTACTCTGTAGCACTCTGGCAGACAAATCACTTGCTTAATTTGCACCAAAAGAAAGCCTTAATATCCATATCTAATATATTTACAAAGGGAAGACTGTTTAAAGATATTTGTGTGCCACTGATTGAAGTTCCTTTAAGTGTACTGGGGAAAAAAAAGTGCCTTCATCCAGACACATTAAATGACCCATTACAAGAGCCTGATTTTGCAAGATTTGCTGACTCCTTGTGCGGGGGTGTGTTTGAAACTGAGTATTTTTCTGACCATTTGAAAGTTTGAAAAAATACTTACTGCACATTTAGGTGCTATAACATAAGTAACAACAATATTGTAAGAAAAAGTTGCAACGTAAGATGGGAATATAGTATTAGTTGTAACTGCATTTGGACTCCACAACTACTCGTCAAACTAAGAGTTCCCTACTGCTGAATACAACCAACTGACAACATACTGCTGATCAAGGAAATTATTAATTACAAAGGGTGGAATGTCATTTTCCATTCTTCTCACTATGTATTATTGCATACACTATGGCACCTTAAGAATTTGGGGGTCTTGAAGATACTAAAATCTCTTTGACAGTATCAAGCTTGATTACAAAGAGTGAGAGGAAAGGTATTCTCAACTAGAGAATCATATGCAGAGATGGTTCAAATCTCATGGTGTTCACAGTCAACACCCCTCATTATTTGTTCCGTTACAAGTATACCTGCCATGAAATAAGTTGAAATGGAACTATTCTTATGTCAAATACATGCAAAATTATAAAATAATTTTTGTAACTTCCTGTAGGCACTCACTGGCATTTTGGATCCAATTCCCATGTTTCCTATCAGTGGAAGAATACAGAGCATGGAATATGAAAAGAGTTTTCAGTCCACAGCTGAACAGTCATTAGGAAATGTATTAGAATATATTTATAACATAAAATTAGGAGTACTGTCATTTTAAGACATAAATCCCTGCATTGTTTGTTGTTGGGTTTTTTCCCTTTCAAGAAAAGGGGAGACCACACGCATGAGTAAGCACTGGGTATGAAACAGAGGCATTGATATTCTGTGCCCCCCCAGTGAGTGTTAATAAGGCATACTTGCACATATATTGATTGACACCAAAATTAGTATTCTGTAATTTGTAATTAGATGTAGGAAGCCAGAGCACTTCTGAAGCTTTTTGATGGGTTCTCATGCAGTTAGCTTAATTGCTAGCCAGATTTATATATTAAGATAGGGAAATAGGAGATGTTTGAGAGATACTGCTACTTTTATTCCACTTTTATTCCTGGTCTTTTGTTCACGCATTCTGGGAATACAGCCCTACTCTGTACAAAGACAAAAGAAATACTTACGGGTAGTTGATATTATATATTTGAAGGACTTAGATGAACACAATGATTTTCTTGTGATTTATGTAGGTGTTTCACTATTACAATTTTCAACTAAATTCTGTAGCACCATTTGCAATATAAAATTTCCATGAAAAGCTCTTGTATGTATGTACAAGACCATTAGAAAAACACAAAATTGTAGGATGCCCTTATCCTGACTTGAAAAACACACAGCCTTAACTATACCAAATTAGTCAATAGAATGACTCCAGCTGATCTTACCTACTACAGGTGTGAAGCAGTGGTGGAAGATAACCAGGAAAAGTTTACAAGGAAAAAAAACAGGGACATCTCAAATTTAGCTTGGAGATCAATCTGAAACCACTGCATACGCTGTAAGTAACACAGGTGTAACAAATATCCTTCGGAAAGTTTTTAGAGAAATATACAGCTACAATCTGCCCTTTTTATATTTCTGAATGATCATCAGGTGTCACTTGAGCAAAGGAATGACAAAACCCAGTCTAATAGTTCTTAATGAAATTCTTAATGGGTTCTTAATGACTTCTCTGCCTCAGTCTTCACTAGCAAATGCTCTGACCATGCCACCGCGGTCCTGAAGGCAGACCTGGAAGGACTGTGAGAATGAAGACCTTAGGCCCACTGTAGGAGAGGATCAGGTTCAAGACTATCTTAAGAACCTGAACGTGAACAAGTGAACAAGTCCGTGGGACCTGATGAAATCCACCCGTGGGTCCTGAAGGAGCTGGCGAATGAAGTTGCTAAGCCGCTGTCCATCATATTTGAAAAGTCATTGCAGTCAGGTGAAGTTCCTGATGACTGGAAGAGGGCAATATAACCCCCATTTCCAAGAAGGGGAAGGTGGAAGACCTGGGGAACTATAGACCAGTCAGTCTCACCTCTATGCCTGGCAAAATCTTGGAGCAGATTCTCCTGGAAAGCATGCTGAGGCACATGAAAAACATGAAAAATTGGTGACATCCAGCATGGTTTCACTAAGGGGAAATCCTGCCTGACCAATTTGATGGCCTTCTATGATGGGGCTACAGGACTGATGGACAGGGGCAGAGCAGTTGACGTCATCTACCTGGACGTGTGCAAAGCGTTCAACACTGTCCCACCCAACATCCTTGTCTCTAAATTGGAGAGACATCAATTTGATGGATGGACCACTCGGTGGATAAAGAACTGGCTGGATGGCTGCACGCAAAGAGTTGTGGTAAATGGCCCAATGTCCAGTTGGAGACCAGTAATGAGTGGTGTCCCTCAGGGATCGGTGTTGGGACCTGTGTTATTCAACATCTCTGTCGGTGGCATGGACAATGGAATTGAGTGTGCCC